CCCCATGTGTATCAGCTCCTGCCCCACTCTGCTGCCTATGTATCAGAGGCAGTTGGGGGGCAGGGAGGGGGGGGAAGAGGAAAGCTCTGCAGGAGCCAGCTCCTCATGAACACTGGCTCCTGCCTCCCTCCCTCCCCCAGCTACCTCTGATATAGAGGCGGGAGGGAGGGGGAGGGCTGCATGTTAGTGAGAGAGTTACCAGTGGTTCCCAACCTTTTTCATACTGCAGACCAGCAAACCCATTCACACACTTTTGACAGACTGGTAAGATTTTATTTGCAAAAAGTCCCTGGCCCCAGAGCCACTGCAAACTGCTGGTTTAAGCTCCAGCAGTCATCATGTGGTAGGCGGCTTCATCAGCTGAAGCCAGTTGTTTGCAGCAGCTCAGGGGACCGGGGTACACTCTGACCCACTAAGCCTTCCAGTGCCAGCCCTAACCCCTAGAGCCCCCCACCCCTCCACTAGCCAGACATTGACCCCAGAGTCCCCAGTGCCAGCCTCCCACCCTCAGAGCCCCCCATCCCAAATGCCTCAGTGACAGCCCCACCACCAGACTCCCCCAGAGCTAGCCTCCTGTTTCCAGAGCCCCACTGCACCCAATGCCCCAGAGCTCCCCTAGTGCCAACATCCAGTCCCCAATATTAGCCCCATCCCCGGAGCTCCCAGTGCTAATTCCCTACTTCAGATGCCCCAGTGCACCCCAATAGCAGCCCCCTGCCTCTTACAGCCCCCCACCCCTTAGACCTCCCCAGTTCTAGCCCCACTCCAAACTCCCCCCAGTATTAGAGCCCCACAGCACTAGCCCTGCCCCTGTCATCTAGCCCTGTGCTGCCTCCCATCCACCAGCTGAGCGCTGCTCCCTGGGTCATGGATGCTCTAAGGCTGCCATCCCGGGCTCCATTCTAGGGATTAAGGATGTTAGTTGACTAGTCAACTAGTCCTTATCTGATAAGCTTATTGGATAGTCAGTCGACTAGTCGATTCCCCTTCCCTTGCTGCCTCTATCAGATGGAAGCAGCAAAGGGGGAGGGGAGAGGGTACTTCAAAGTGGCAGTGCGGTACAGCTGATCCCAGGGTCAGCTGTGCAGCGCTGTCCCTTTGAATGCAGCTGATCAGTCTCTAGCTGATCCCAACCAAGTTCCACTGAAATGCTGCACAGAGCCTGGAATCAGCTGGGGCTAACCCCAAGCTCCGCATGGCAATCAGCAGTGCAACATGGAGCCTGGGGTGAGTGAGGGACTCTGAGACCCCCACTGACCGCGGGCTCCATGAGGGCACTTCCGCATTCGTCCTTTGAAATGTACAAGAGCCCCTGCTGGGAGTGATTGTGCATTTCAAAGCAAAAGTGCCTATGGACTAGTCGATGGAAATTCCATCGACTACTGTCTAGTAAATTAACCGATATTTAACATCCATACTAGGGATGTGAAGGACTAGTCGCTACCCTCCCCTTGCTGCCTCTATCATATGGGGGGGTACTTCAAAGCAGCAGAGCCACACGGAGCTCCATGCAGCGCTGCCACTTTGAATGTCCAGGCTCATTGGTTAACTGTGTACTTGGATATATGCTCACATCCCCAATCAGTACCATGGCATCTTCCTTCCTCCTCCTCCCCCTCTTCCCCTATGTCTGCACAGATACCGACTGCCTTGCAGCACCGCACTGCTGACACTGCCTTCACTCCACCTCAGCTCACATTCTCCAGGCGTTCCTCTGCTCTGTGACTCTGTGCAGGGACCAAGGCCCAGCCCTGGCTCCTACCTGCTTTGCCAGGATTTAAAGGGAACCACCCTATCTCCCCAGACTCTCACACGTCTCCTATTTCCTCATTTTCCTCAGAACACCCTCCAGACATCTCTCTCATCAGTAGGGATATAATAGGATAGTCAATAAACTGATTAGCAAAAGCTTATCGGTTAAGGCTATAAACTACATGCATTTCCCTTCCCACCTCCGCCAGGACATTTTTGAGCAGGCTGGTCAGCAGCCCGGCTCAGTCCTGACTTGTGCTGAGTTCGGGACCTACCCCTGCTGTGGCTCTGCATTTAAAGTGTATTAGGAACCAGGCAGGTAGGCAGCCCGGCTCAGTTCTGGCAGCTCAGACCCTCCCATCGGACAGGGGCTGCTGCCACCCCATGGAGCCAGGCAGGCAGCCCAGCTCAGTTCCGGCAGCAGTGTGGCACGACAGGCAGCCAGTCCATGAGAGGAGCTGGTTTTTAAACTGGCTCCCCTCATGGACCAGCTCCCACCTAGCATTCCACGTCGCTGCCTCCAATACAGAGGCAGCAGCACGGGGTGGCAGGGGGCTCCTCGAGTGGGGCCAGAGCGCACTGGCTGCCGGCCCCACCCACCCCTAGGACTATAGAATAGTCAAGTAACTGATAAGAATTCATGAGGTTAACTGACTATTCAATTAACCAATATTTAATATCCCTAGTCAGTACTCCAACAGGCTGGGATCAGCCAGCACCCCTGCCTGACTCTGCTCATCTAGCACTAGCTAGTCTGCCCTATCAGTGTCTCAGGATTCAGTACACTAGGAATGTTAAAATGCATGTCCTTAACTGTGTACGGTTACATGCAAGGTGGTTGTTGCCTCCCCAGGAGCCTGTGCACGCAGGGAGCCAACTTTTAAGCTGATTCCCCCATGTATTGACTCCTGCCTGCCACCCCAAAGGCAGCAGTGTGAGATGGCAGTCAGCTCCCTGCGCGTACCGGGAGCCTGCGTGTAACCACAAACGTTAACTGATGAGCACAGGCTCATCGGTTGGTAACACTTTCACATCCCTACTGTACACAAGAGACTTCTTTGTGACTCCTCCTGTCTACCCCACCTCAGCTCTAAGCAGCACCTATGCCTGGCCTTCTCCCCACCCACACCCATGCTTGGTCTTCTCCACTGCAGCCAGGAGAAGATGCAGATTCCAAGGCCAGAAGGGAGTAGTGCCATCAGGCAGGAAGGGACCTTGAGAGGACCTCTAGTCCAGACCCCTGTGCGGACGCAAGACCAAGTAACCCTAGACCACACCTGAAAGGGGTCTGTCCAACTGGTTCTTAAAAATCTTTAAGATTCTGTAGCCTCCGTTGGAAGCCAACTCCAAAGCTGAACTCCCCTGGGAATCAGAAAGTTTTCTGTAATATCTAACTGCAATCTCTCTTGCTGCAGATTAAACCCACTACATCAGTGGTCCACAACACGGTGCCTGCGGGCGCCATGGCGCCCGCGGGGCCATTTGTGTGGGCCCGCCAAGTGGTCAGGGCTGGCCTGGCCCCGGGAACTTGGTGCATGCATGGTGCCGGTGCCGGCCCCGGGCACATGGTGAGCGCTGGCCCCAGGAGCGCTGCGAATTGGCTGCCCACGCTCTGGGCATCGCGGCACTTGGGGGGGGCGCCATTAAATGGCCATTAAAATATCTGAAGACTCATCAGGTCCTCCCTCAATCTTCTTTTCTCAATATGAAACATGACCAGTTTCTTTAATCTTTCCTCGTGGATCAGATTTTTTAACCCCAAATCATTTTTGTTCCTCTCCTCTGGATTCTCATCTAGACTGACCTTCTGTACCACACAGGCCTAAGAACTCCCCCAAAATATTTACTTGAACTGGAGCAGATCTAGAGAAACATCCCATCTAGGGATGTAATAGTGTAGTCAATTAACTGTAACTGATAAGCAAAAGCTTATAGGTTAATGCTATAGACTACACACATTTCCCTCCCCACCCTTGCCAGTAAATTTTTTAGCAGGCTGGCCAGCAGCTCAGCTTAGTCCTGGCTTGCACTGGGTCCAGGACTTACCACCACTGCAGCTCTACATTTAAAGTGCATTGGGAGTCAGGCAGGTAGGCAGCCCGGCTCAGCTCTGTATCAGAAGCAGCAGCACAGATTGACAGGCAGCTGGTTCACAAGGGGAGCTGTTTTTTTCAACTGCCTCGCCTTGCGGACCAGCTCCTGTCTGGCATCT